GCTTACAGCTAACCAGGTAATGTAATTAGTATTCAGGAATTCATGGACTGCTGTGAGCAATGCAAAGCGTAGATATTGCAGACAGATATCCTTATCTTGTCTTCCTTCCCTTCCAGCGGTTTGCTAATGACAGTGATGATAGTGGCTCCTTGCATAGCACCTTCCCTTTTGTGATTTCACAGTGCCTTGCACATGTAATTCATTGATGACCCCCTGATGCTTTTTGTCCTTATTGCACAGAAAGGAAGACTGAAGCTCTGGTGGCTGTGTGAACTTGCCAGGTTGCAGCGCGAAGTGCGGGTTATGGATTTAATAGGAAAAACAAAAAAAACAAAACCCAGAAGGAGGGGGAAGGAAAAGTACCTCTGGCTTGGTCTCTTCATGAAAAACTCCAGCAGAGACCAACCATTGTAGGTTTTGCTTTCATGTGGATACAGGCTGGTCAAAAACTTCATCAGAATATTAGGAGCTAGAAAGCCACAAGCACAAGATGTGACATGTGTGTACAATGTGTGTGTTTGTGTATGCACGCGTGTGTATGCACATTTACAGAGCCCTGCCACCCCCTACCCCCCAATCTCCACTGTATCTATCTGTGCCTGGAGCTACAGGAACCAAATTCTAGCCAAGAGCTATAGAGTGGGACCTGGAGAGATGTAGAGGGGATAAATAAGCAAAAGCAGCTTATGACTTGCCTAAACAGTGGTTTTGTATTGAGGTGGTATTTGTATTTGTCCCTCCATGTACAAACACCTATTCTTTTGTAGTAGACATACAGCCATTTGAATCTGCCTCTGTTTGTTTTTATGTGTGGGTTTTTTTAAGATCCACTTAGATTTAGGTCAGGATTTATGTAGGTGAAATGCATATGAGCCTTTCGTTGCTACCTGAGTGCATGAAAAAAAGATTTACTTGGGCTGATTTGGGATTGAATTTCAGGCTTCCTTGCTAATGGCCTCCCACCTGATTTGTACACGACAAATAAGTCATTCAAACCAGACAGCGATGACAGCCATGTTTTCTGGAGAGTCAATCAGCTCACACAAAGCATACAGGGGCCTGTCCTTGCCTGTTACAAGTAACCGGGTGAAAACTTAATTTGAAATATTTATGGCTCACTTAGAAGCAAGAGTGCAGAGCACAGAAATGGCCTGGAGAAGGGCTGTCTGTCCTAAAGCGTGTAAATCATGCTAAGCAGTCCAAAGGGAGTCTATTGAATTGACATTGGCTTTCTGGGACTCTTCTGGGTCATTAACCTCACACTAAACCAGATTTCTGTCACAAGCTCCTACTCACGGAGGGAATAACTGCTCCCCTTTTGCCCCTCACTGCAGGCTGGCAGCTCTGCACACACCGGCGTGGGCTTTCTCTCCTTCCCCACGGGCTCCCGAGGAGGAAATGGCACTGCTCTCCCAGGAGAGAGCGATGGGCGGTGTGGTTATGTCCCTCTGCTTCCCCCCTTCGGGGTGCTTGTCCAGGGCAAGCGGGAAGGAAGGGGAGAAAGGTCAGGAGGCTAAGAGGCCAATCACTAATGGGAAGAAAGGAATAAGAAAAGAAAAGAAAAAAAAAAGTGTAGCCCCCTGAAGTGAATGCCTGATGGTTCAGAGCGTTTGCCCTGGAGGAAATCCCGCAGGGGCAGCAGGGAGAGCTGCTCACAGGCCAGGAAGGAAGAGTAAAGAGGCTTTCAGGTTGGCTGGGTTTTTCCCATACCAAGTAAGGGTGTCAGAGAAGGTTCAACTCCAGCTCCAGGGTCTGGCTCTGTGGCACAGACCCAGGTATCGCCTACACTTTCCCAGGGAGCCCTACACTCCTGCTAGGCAGTGTGGACCGGGGTCCACGTGTGGTCAGAGCCTCATCACAAAAAGAGCAGCTGAAATGAAGAGTGAATTATGAAAAGCAGTAACGGAAGTAGGGAATGTAAATAAAGGACAGCTAGATAATCTCTCAAAAAAGGAGTATCTGACTATTTGCATGTAGTTCAGCCCCAGCTGACTAAATATTCCACTAGAAGTAGATGTTAGGAAGCAGTTACTTTCCAGCAATAAAAGAAAGCAGTAACTAACATGATCGGGGCCTTACGAGGGGAGGAGCCCTCTCAGACATCTTTGCCAGGTTTATTCTCATCCAGTGTAACTGGAAAGATCTCCTGTACAAAGACAGGGAGACAACTTGGTTGGTCCATGACCTTCCACCCATCATCTTGTACTATTTAGTTTTCCTAATGTTATGGCCAAGATTGTATAAAAAATTAACCCTTCCTGTGTCTCCATTTCCAGGAGCCGTCTACAGGCCATGGGGAGGTTCTGCTCTCTATCAGCTACTTGCCAGCAGCTAACCGCCTGCTGGTGGTGATTATTAAGGCTAAAAATCTCCATTCCAAGCAGCTGAAAGATCTACTTGGCAATGGTGAGTAGAATAGCAAGAAAACAGAGACAGATGAGGCGCTTAGGGACATGGTTTAGTGGGCATGGTGTTGTTGGGTTGATGGTTGGACTCGATGATCTTGGAGGTCTCTTCCAACCTTTAATGATTCTATGATTCTATGATTCTATGATTCTATCTTGTACTATTTAGTTTTCCTAATGTTATGGCCAAGATTGTATAAAAAATTAACCCTTCCTGTGTCTCCATTTCCAGGAGCCGTCTACAGGCCATGGGGAGGTTCTGCTCTCTATCAGCTACTTGCCAGCAGCTAACCGCCTGCTGGTGGTGATTATTAAGGCTAAAAATCTCCATTCCAAGCAGCTGAAAGATCTACTTGGCAATGGTGAGTAGAATAGCAAGAAAACAGAGACTGTTGTTTCTGCTATTTTGTAAATCTAGAAAGAAAGTGGGAAGGGTGGTGTTTGGCAGAAAAAAATAGAAGTTTAGCCAAAGAGATCTGAATAATTTCTAAAAAGTGAAAACCAAACCCACCAAGATCAATGTTTCTTATGTTCTCTCTCGCAGTCTGATGTCATCAGTTAAAATTCTCTTGCATTCATTTTGTTGCATGCTCATTAATATGGTGTCTCTCTCTCCACTTCCTACACAGATGTTTCTGTCAAGGTGACACTGAGGCATCAGTCCTTGAAGATGAAGAAGAAGCAGACCAAACATGCAAAACACAAGATCAACCCTGTGTGGAATGAGATGATCATGTTTGAGGTGCCTCATGAGCTCCTGCGTGCCTCCAGCGTGGAGCTGGAAATGCTGAGCCAGGATGGTGCTGGGCAGAGCCACGTGCTCGGCAAGTGCAGCCTGGGCTTGCACGTCACGGGCACAGAGAGGAACCACTGGGAAGAAATGCTGAGGAACCCCAGGAGACAGATAGCCATGTGGCACCAGCTCCACATGTAGGCTCATCAAGATTACTGCCAACCAGATTTCCACCAGGCCTCTGAGCCTGGGGGAATAAGCTGCGTTTCTCCTTCCACCTTCCCCTCCACAAAGTTGCTCAGCACAGCATTCTTCTTACATCACCTTCTCTGATTTTTCTGTCTCATCCTAGCCCAGGAAACTGTCTGGAAAATGTCTTTAAAGGATAATCTCTCACCTCATCAAGTGGTTCTCTCAAACAAGGGATTTGGCTGCCTGGATGATTTGAATTAATTTTATTAGCCTGCCCACTGTCATTTCTGTGAGGTCCCTCTTTCTGTAGAGGAGCACAGGGGACCAAAGGTATCGTGGAAACGTAAGCCACTCCTTTGCATCTGGCACTGTCACCCAAGTCCCTTGATGAGTGCTGGCTCCATAATCACAAACACGCAGCAGATGTTTTACCAGTCACTGTTTTTCATAATACTTTACAAGACTCTGAGAAATGAAGATCACAAAACTAACTTTCCCTGCAGACCCAAAGTATCAGTATGAAAGAGAGAGTGAAGCCAACGTGCAGTAGATGGATACCTAGGAAAAGATACAGAACTAAGGGACAGAACAGAGGAAGAAGAGAGAGTGAGACAGTCAACACTGTCATCCTGTGTAGCCTTTGAAGCAAACACTGCCAAACAAGAAGTCAAATACCTTCCTTCACTTTTGTTTCCTGGAGTGTTTGATACCTTATATTTAGGATTCATGAAAATTGCCGAAAATATGAATGTTTCAGGACCCTTTAGCAGAATACCTATGTCTTCTATCTTTCTCTAGTGTCACCCAGGAAGACCCTAAAGATGGACAAAAAGTTATTTTTGATGTTACCTCCAAAAACTTGGACCAAATCTTCCTGCTTACTGCCATCTTTTCTGTTTAGGTTTTTCTGTGCTAGAATGTTTCAGATAGTCTAATTATATTCCAGGCAACATCTAAGACTAGACAAAAGAAGTGGGATCATTTCATACCTTAGCAGTTGATTGATGGTTTTGGTTTGACAGTTAACTATTGCACTCAGATCCTCATACCAGCATTACTCAAAGACAACCCTTAAGAACTGCCATGTATTTCGTCACTTCCAGACAGAAGGAATTCACTGACCAGACAGACTCTCCAGGGCTTGTATTTTTGTGTGCACTTTCAAGAGTCAACGTGGCTTAAATGTTATTGTTTACTGTCCTTTTTTTTTTGTGTCTAGATGGACTGAAAGTCTGGCGTTGGCAGTGATGATGTTATGACGCCATAAGCACACTGCTTGTCCTACCACTTTATTTCAAGTAGTAGACACAGCTTTAAGGGACTTGCATGGGGACAAGGCATCCAAAAATCTAAAAACAGAACCATATAGTTTGTAGCACTGAAAAACTCAGAGAACTTCATTTTTGCAGGGTCAGCTTGATCCTCTGTTAAATTCAAAATATTAAGCTAGGCTTTACCTAGTATCCATCCCATTTTGATGACTTAATCCCATTTTGATGACTTAGTCAAACAAGTCTAGCAGACTGTCAAGTGAAGGCTGCCATCCTGTTGGCAAAGGGAAACCACCAGAACCAGTATCTGAAAACTGGCTGAAGCACCAGGCACAGAAGGCTACAAACAGGGGAATGAAGTTCAGCTGGAAGCCAGTCACTAGTGGTGACTGGGGCTAGTGGTGGGACTGACACTGTTTAACATCTTCATAAATGACCTGGACAATGGGGCAGAGCGTGCCCTCAGCAAGTTTGCAGATGATACAGAACTGGGAGTAGTGGTTGATAAACCAGACGGCCGTGCTGCCGTTCAGAGGGATGTGGAGAGGCTGGAGAAATGGGCTGACAGGAACCTCCTGAAGTTCAACAAGAAGTGCAGAGTCCTGCAGCTGGGGAGGAACAACTCCATGCACCATTGCAGGGCTGGGGGCTGACCATCTGGAAAGCAGCTTTCCAGAAAAGGACCTGTATGTCCTAGTGGACACCAAGTTGAACATGAGCCAGCAATGTGCTCTTGCAGCAAAGAAGGCCAACAGTGTCTTGGGCTGCATTAGGAAAAGCATTGCCAGCAGGTCAAGGGGGGTGATCCTTCTTCTCTACTCAGCACTGGTGAGGGCACATCTGGAATGCTGTGTCTAGTTCTGGGCTTCCCGGTGCAAGAAAGATATGGACTTACTGGAGAGAGTGCAGCAGATGGCCATGAAGATGATTAAGGGACTGGAGCATCTTCTGTAGGAGGAGAGGCTGAGAGAGCCGGGACTGTTCAGCCTGGTCAAGAGAAGGGTCAGGGGGGACGGGACTTATCAATATGTATAAATACCTGATCTGGGAGAGGAGAAAAGAAGACGGAGCCAGACTCCTCTCAGTGGTGTCCAGTGACAGGACAAGAGGCAAGGGCACAAATCGCAGTACAGGAAATTCCATTTGAACACATGAAAAAAACAAATTAAAAAAAACTTTTTTACTGTGAGGATGGTCAAACACTGGAACAAGTTGCCAAGAGAGGTTGTTGAGAGTCTCCATCCTTGGAGCCACTCAAAATCTCATGGGATACAGCGCTGAACAACCTGCTCTAATTTACCCTGCTTTGAGCCGGGGTGGGTTTGGACAAGATGATCTCCAGAGGTCCTTTCCATCCTCAACGATGCTGTGACTCTGTGAAGAGACCGACAAGGTTGATGCACACTGAAAAGTCTGCTATCTTTACACTGCTATTCCCTTTCTAGGTGGTGTAGCCAGGAGTTACAGGATCATTTTGAAGAAAGTGATAAAAACAGCTTTGACCAAACAAACAAACAAACAAACAGAAAAGCAAAGCATGCCAATTAATCTCACACCCAATGTTTTAATCTCTGATATTGCTCCACTGGCTAGACGGAATTTAAACAAAAAGAAAATTGACTTCCTGTTTTGCTCTATGGGTTTTTGTTTATTAACAAAAAGCTGTAGGATACTGTGAATAAAATAGACACAGGGTTTTAGTTGATAGTGAATTCTTAATAGTTGCTGTGTTCATGATTTGCCTGTAGATGTTCCTATAGGTTTGGAATCATTATTTCCATTTACGTGCAAAATTCATTGTGATGTTGGCCTATTCTACATATAGGTTCCTGGCAGCGCTGTGATTCTTCCTTCTTTTTAGGATAATGATAAGAAGGATAACTTCATGGTATGATGCTATTTGGCTGGCACTGGAAAGCCTGAAGGGCCAAATATTTGCCTTGCTGCCAAGAGATTTCTCTAGTTCTGCCTCCTGCTTATTTTAATGAGCCTTTTATAACATCTTGGTGACTGATTGTAAACAGCATTATCTGCCTCTGCCCCTGGTGATTTTGGCAAACCCTGTAATTAGATCGCAATCCTATAACATCTAAAGGAATAGCCCCTCGCAATCTGATTTTGCTGTGACAAAATAATGCCTTCTTTTACAGCAGAAAAATATGTGTATACACACTACTTAACTACAAATCTGTCTTACGAGCGAAGTGGTGCCACCGGTGTTAAAGTAGGGTGTTGTTCCCTCCTTTGCTAGAATAGGATTTAAATGGGGAAGAGAGGAAGAGTGCAAATGCATGCATCTTTCATGGCTGGATCATTTTTGTTGTCTGGCATTTTAGCCTGGAAAGAATGTCTCTCGCATTCAGCGCAGCCTGAACAAAGACTGCCAGGTGTTTATTTAACGAGGCAGCCATTTGCTGCGCCGGGGCTGAAAGCAGGCCCAGTTAAGGGTACTGGCTGTCCTGAACAGGAGGAATGCTGCGTACGTGTGGTACCGGAGGGGCAGGGACGCTCAGCCCGGGCCCTTTTGAACTCTGTTAATAGGAGCTGTTTGTCATCGCATTCCAGCGCCTGCCCAGGGCCCGGCCCTTATCCCTCTGAGCCTCCCGTGTCGCCTGTTTAGCAATGCTTGTATGCCCCTGAGCCCCAGCACCCCAAGGGCTGGAGGTGCTAAACTGGCCCAAGCAGACAAACTGCGGGGAGCTGTCGTGGTAGATGACAACGTCACGAACATAAATGCAATGTATTTGGAAATGCTCAGCGCCATCACACCAAGCGGCTTCAGCAACGTGAGCTGTAAAAGTATCGCTTAAGCGCAGTATGGCCAGAGGACAGAGCCAGACAGCCCCGTGGTTTTCAGCTCCTGAAGCTGTAAATACAGGAGCATCAGAGAGCACCACAAACATGTCTTAAATTAAGGGGTGCTGCTTATAAACTGCGTCATAAGAGAAGAAGCAAAAAACCAATTACAGCAATTAACATTCTTAAGCTACATGTGTCATCAAAAAATAGCCATTAGATTCCCCAATGGCTCTTCAGTGGTTGCACTGATTATTTTTCCTACTATAATCTGTTAATATGAAGAAACTGGAAGCAAAGAGACCAGGAAGGAAGGAAAAAAAAAA